TTTGCGATTCTGACAGGGAATGAAAATAAAAGGGAAGAGCTCCTAGATGCTGCACCAAAGTTTTCGGACTCCGGCGCCAAGCTCGAGGAAGCCTCCAACCTTATCGCCTTTCGGATCTCGAATGTTCCGGCGACCGTAAAAACAATCAACTATATTCATACGGTCGATGCTGAGTGGATTTCTTTGGAGATCTACCGAAAAACACATAAGCTTCTGTTGGAAACGGAGACACGGAGTGTTGTGGACGTACGGGCCCTCCATTTCGTCTAGGTTCCCGACACGATTTCGTGTGTATTTAAGAGGTTGGAACAGGTAATATGGTAGCGCTTCAGGCTACCTATTGGACATATGAGCGGCTGTATGGCGTGGGCGCAAGGAGGTTATTGGGGGGTTTTCTATGCCTAGATGGCGCCACACTCGTTTATGCTATGGCTTAGGCTCTGTGTCGCTTACAACTGTACTTGTAGCGCACACTTCCCACACTTTTAGCCTTAATCCGAACATGACACTCTTTTAGTCAACTTCTACTTTCGTTCCATGAATATTGCGCCCATTACATTGCGCGATAATTCCAACAGCTTCCACACCAGGTGCTACTGCACGGGACATGCCGTCCTGGAGAGCCGTACAGAAATTGGGAAGCCTTTTTCACCCGGGCATCCGCATTCACGACGAGGCTGGTATGGCTACCATTTACAAGCCTCGTCCACAAATTGAACAGTGCAAACGCTGTTTGGGCTTCCACACCGGAGGGCAAGACTGAACACCTGTACGCGGTGTCCTCTACGAACCTGGGAGTGAAATATTCTCCCAGAGTCGAGCTCAGTTAGATTTCGCATTACCGAAGAAGTCGGCCCACGAGGGCTAAATTTCAAATTACTCCACCATGTCAATCTTTCACTCCCAAAGAGTCCGATTCTCAACTAAGCTTCATCAAGTCTACAAGTACGACCTAGTACATCCTCATCCCAATGGCCATACCTCTCGTCGACTTTCCCTGGCCTCAGCTGGTCACCAACACACGCCCACGCCGATATTTATACCCGACGGAGAAAGCAAAGCGTGGAGAACAAATCTGGGAGATAGCTTTTTGGGATGGACGTGAGAGAGATCAGGACAAGATACAAGATGATGCAGAAGAGGGATACATTCTCGACGGACTTGAAATTTCGAATTTTGGCAAGAGTTTTTCGAATTGGGCTTTGTGCGCGCCAAGACTTCGCTTGCGAGAGTGCAGCTGACAATATAAACACAAGCAAACGATAGAAGGTGCCGTGGTCAGCCTCCTGGTGATGTTCTCTGGTATAGTCTGAGTAGCCTGGGCACCTACTCCACTTGAGAAGGAGACATCTCAGATCATATTTCGCGCGAAGAAAAGTTGAAAGATGACGGAGGCATGTCTGGATAGCTCAGGGTTTTTGAGACGTTCCCCTGGGTGGGTATTCACGGATGAGGGTTGACTTGGGGTGAAGAAAACGCCGCCATAACTTCGTAGTGGTGCCTACAAATGAAATCTGAGGCATGAGTGCTCCTCTTGTAAATTGAGTCATCTTTTCTGTACTTTTCTTTGATATTTTGTCATAGCTAGATAGCTGCATACGCAATTAAAATCTGATGCAAAAAAAAAAGAAAAAGGGCTTTCACACCACCCGTGGTTGCACCCGCGCTCCAGCCTGCTGGAACTGCGGATCCAACATGCACTCGGAAGCCGAATGCAAGGCCCTCACTAAGTGTCGTAACTGTGGGGGACCGGTGACAAAAGAGCAGCTCGCGTGGATCAGCCACATAGAACAAGAGGAGTTGTCCAAGATGGCACGAGTACGAGCAGCAGCAAAAAAGGCCGAAGAGGCGATCATCGCCGCGGCGAAGGACGTCTCGATGGCCGAAGCTACAGGTTTCGGAGCATTGGGAGCTGAAGAATAAGTTTGAGGACACAGCAACCTCGACGATGTCCCCTTTTGGGGCATCTACTAACCAATAGCAGGATACCGGCTAGATCAAAGGTGCCTGCTAACTCATCTCTTGCTCTCAGCGGAGATTGAATAAATTTTGTCATTTGGAAGGTGTGACGGACGAGGGAATGTGTGAGGAGCGCATTTACTGGGTCCAATATGGAGGAATCTTCTGGTTTGCGGAGTTGTTTTGATTTTTGTGATTTTTCGTTCTTGTTCAATCAGCTGCACTTTTGGTAGCGATTCACGAGGTTGGAACGAGTTAGGCTGTAGGAAAAGTTACAGGGAACCCTGCCGGATCCACCGGTCCTTGAGCCAATGTGGAAAAGATAGCTCTAGCTTAGGACCAAAAGTAAGTAAATAAAAAAAAACATGACCGGTGCTATGTATACATGTTGGATGACTCTTTTGACGTTAGAGACACTCATAGTCTAAGGTTCATTTGCAAATAACACTATGAGATGTGTTTGCCTAGGCAGAACAGTTGACTCTCCTCCGTAAGTACCCACCAAAGGGAATTTCAAAACCTTTGGTTATCCAAGCATGCCTTCGTCATCCATGCATACCAGCGCCACGAGAAATGTGGTTGTGTTTCGCCGGATATGAGCCAGCGATGTACTGTCTCGAGTGGAATACGTGTCAAAGCTATCCAGACTCTCCTCAGTAGACCGGCCAAGACGATGTACCAGGGCTCCTTCAATTGTTGACTTGTGTTTAATGTGTCAGCTGCACTCTTGCAAGCGAAGTATTGGAGCTCACAAAGCATAATTCTTAAAACTCCTTGCCAAAATTCAGCATTTCACGTTCTTCGAGATTGTATCCATCCTCTGCATCATCTTGTGAAATTATCCTGATCCCTCTAACGTTCATCCCAAAGAACTATCTCCCAGATTTGTGCGCCACGCTTTGCGTCCTCCGTTGGATGTCAATACGTACAGGTGTTCAGCCTTGCCCTGCACCAAAGACCTCGTCAACTGGCACCTACATGACTGAGTTATGAGGCTATTTCTTAGCTCATTAAGTTGTATCTAGAAGTAGATTTACAGTAAGCCTCGCGGAGGACGAAGGCTGAACACCTGTCAGTGGTGTCCTCTACGAACCTGGGAGTGAAATATTCTCCCAGAGCCGAGATTCAGTCACGATAAAGGGTGGGATGAATAATAATTGATGGATTTTCGACTTGAAGGAGTTGCACCCGATATTTTGGTCGAAGAATCAGTCGGCAGAGATTTCACAGCCGGAACAAAGTTGAACAAAAGCTCCTCACCACCAACATACGCTTCAAGGATGGGCCTAGGTCTATCTGGGGGTCGTATTCAAACATCTGACATCTCTCAAACTCCTTTTAAATTTGCGACAAAGCATTTCTCAGTCGATCCTATACCTGCGACCCACTTCCATACTCGTCCGATCACCTACCTACACACGCCCTAATGAGGAAAGTCATGATGGAAACGGGACATGAACAAAGGATGAAGAAAAGGGAAGACACACCGAGGGGATTACACAAATCACCAATGACGAAAACAACCCAACGGTACAATATGAAGGTGCAAGGCTAGAGCAACAATGAGATTTTGGTCGGCATTTATATTTCGGAGTCAATGAGGATGTCAAGGGCTCGGGCGCGTGGTGGCCGAGGCTGAGAAGGAAATCGCGCTAGGGCGTGTATACAGCGGGTTTCTGGACAGTTAAGCTTGGTATGATTCAACACATAGGTGAAGTCTGAGGTGGTTCGGTCATTAAGGTGGGACGAGGTTTATCTGTACTTCACGGTAGTTAACCTGATCCGGCCCGACCCCACACGTGCTTAAGTTCCAATAGGAGTGCAATAGTAGTCATGTAACCTAGCACGTTAATGAACAGCGTCCTTTACCCGGTTGGGTGTATAGAGCGAATGGCTAAGGCTCACTCTAATTAGACGTAAAATAATACAAACAAACTTTAATGAACAAAACAAAAAAACAGTAAGCCTCGCTGTCAGGCATATAGTAATTATGCTCCAAAGGGAATTTCAACTGTGAAACAATCCCTTATGAACACCAGATGCTACGAATCGTGGAACGAGTCAAAATACTCACGAGTAAAAATTTTTAGTCAAGATCAGTGTTACTCATCCTTATTTCACTAAAACATCTCACATGTAAATGTGGTTAAACGAAGATCTTAATACTATCGTCGATTGAATCGTGGAGCACCTCCAAAATCTATAGAGAAGTATTGTTTTGAAAACCCCATTTTGAGAGTCTACCCAAAGCCTCAGTGAGAAGATTTGATATTAGGTCACCGGATAATTGGAAATTTATGCTCTGTAGCTTATCAATTTACTACTAATATTCGGACCATATTACGTAGTTTTCACTTGCTCAACTTTCTTTATCTCATGACCTGAGGAATTTTAGGTCTCAGAAAATCTATAGTGATAAGCAGTTCCTTCAAATATATAGTTATCTTTTTCCTTTGAAAGGAAGTTAATTCTAGCTACAAAATTGGCAAGAATTCCTAGATATCTTGTAAATTCTATAAAAATCAGTTGAAATTGACTGTTGTCCGTATAAATGACCAATATTATGGTTAATGTTCTATAAAATGTTTTTGGAATACTTTATTCTGTACGTGTGTATTCAGCCCCATTTGCCTTGTTTTATCACTTTCCTAACAGATAAAATAAAACGGGTGGCTTTTTCCTTCTATGTTTATAGTTATTACCTAATTTAGTGCGTTTCTCGTACGCATAGTAGGAAATGGTATACCAATGTATCATTTGAGTAGCCAGATATGCATATTAGGGACTCGGTTTTCGTTACTATTTGAAGTAAACACGCGTTATATATTCTGCGAGTTCTTCTGATGAATGACCTGATCGAATGAGAGTATAATCCTCCTCAGAAGGCATTGATACATGTTGTCTATATCAGCTGCTAGAACGTGGCGATAACAGGATATCTCGATGCCCATCAAGCATAATTTGTGTTGACTTTGAGTAAAATTAACTTTTCGATGCAACGAAACCAATTTCTGACCTCTCAGTGTCGTAGAGTAAGTAGGTTATATATCGTTGACTTGTGAGTAATGTTCTTTTCTTTTTTCGACAACCCGTCTTACACCTGCCCAGCCCAAAAGTCCAAGGGTTGCAGTGATGAAGGAATAAACCACTACTTTATCCTGGGTGCTATCCCGCTGAAAACATATTGTAACTACGTCTTTTTCTTCAGCATCCTTACATATGGGCAGCCGCTGTGAGAGACAAAAGGCTTTGTTACAAATCAAGCACCCGACAGAAGCAGTTCGATGCGCTTCTTCAAGATTTTGTGTTACAGATGGTGCATGAGATGAAAGTGGTATTATTGTACTATTCGTGAAGCAGGTGCATTTGCAGAATGACGGGGCAGCTAGTAAGCGATTAGATAAGGCATTTGGTCAGTGTTGTTAACTTACTTGCGATGACTGAAACGACTATGGATGCCATAATCAAAAGTTGGGAAACTTTGAGCATGGCCATTACAATGGTAGGAAATTTCTAAATCTGCCCCCTAAAACGTTGAATAAGTCGCGATATAAGTATGTGCTGACTTTCTGTTTGCCATGGTTCCTCGGTCAAACTCATGCACAGACCTACAATGTATTGCCAAATATGGAGTTTATCCCAATATTGCAGCCTCGCGAACAAAGTAATTTTGCGCTAATGATGGTTCAGCGCGCTCATCATTCCATGTGATCGCCAGCCCGAATCCAAGGACTCGAACTAGAATTTGCTTCGTAAAATCCGAGAAAATATTCATCAAGGCGGCAGGTAGCAATCTATCCATCCAATGATGTCTAAAAAGGTCATGATGCGAGTAATAGCACCAATAGTAAGGTCATCGGCACTTCTCAAGAGCGATTACATCTACGAACACCATATCTGTGCAAATTGTATATCACAGACGAAATTGTTTTCCTCGTCATCACAGCGGGAGGTTGACACTAGCCTACCGTTTACAGAAAAATTAAGAAGAAAGATATGGGGAACGAACGAGCCACCTGGAAATTTAAACCCCTATGGCAAACAAAATCATATTGGCCAATCTGATCAATTAGAGATTAATCCAGCGAAACTTGGCGGAGAGATGTCCCGGGTAGTCGAAACAGATTATACAGGTCTTGAACTTGCAACAAATTGGGACGGACTCGAGCTGATTGGTGATGAAAAAGACATTGTGTCTAGGAAAGAATGGCTCCCTGGCAACAATTTCAAAGCAAGCTTTTTTCCAAAACACGTCATGATAGATGGGGATGAAATAAAGGCCACGCTGCACCGAGCCATCGTGGAAGTAATGACTTGGAAGCAATCTGGGCGTAATATTTCCGAAATTACTACTTCAACCCCTGGCCCTGACTTGACCACAAAAGTTCAGATAATTAATTCAGCCCCAGAAACTGCTCTTCAATTCCCTGACGAAACTTGCAGAGAGAAGATTCTTCAGTCACTGACGCACTTTGAAGATGATAGTGAAGTTACCTCTCCACACTCTACGTCATCCGATGAAGTGGTAATCCCTGAAAATAACACCCAAACTCAGGAGTCAGAATTTTTAAACCAATCTTCTCAAAATTTACTGATGTCAGAGGATAAAAACATCCCCGTTATCTACCAGCTGAAGAAAGTTCAAAAATCTACCATGTCAAGCACATACGCAGAGTTAATTTCAACATGGGATCCTACCTGGACTAAAACGAGTCTTAGAGATCCTGCTATCAAATTTGCTGTATGCTTCTCCCTTCCCATGCTTTTTCTTTATCAAATACTCACCTGCATTTGAGGTTATCAAGCGAATGATGCAATTGAGTGGTATCCGTATACCCGATAATATAATTACATCTACTGAAACAATACGATCTCTGCTAAACCACATTATCAAGCCTCCGAAGTCACATAAGCTCGTGGAGGCGTTATCACAGAACGAAGAGCTTCTCGGCCTTCCAAACGTTTCCGTCTTTCCACGGCGTATTACTCTATGTGACAAAGAAAAAGCAGTCGGCAGGTGGAAGTTAATCGAAAGTGAATTTGAGGCGCGTGGGCTTACGCCTATTTCAGCAACGAAGAGATAGTGCAAAGATGAACGTATATCATTTTACGATAATAAACAGTCTTTTAAAACTCCGAAAATATTGGTGGTAAGGGAAGAAATCGAACTTATTCCATAGGTAAAATTGATTGCTTGGGTTGTATTCAAAATCTGTGGAATCTCCAGAGTCAATTTTTTAAAAATTTTCTAATGCCATTTACGGCTAGATGAAGTTCACCAAACCACAACGATACGGATTCTGATATCATTTTTTAACGCGACAAATGAAAACAGCCATAAAATTATAAGGTCCATCTCAGACGTGATTAAATAAATATAGATAACCGAGCAAGGGTTTGGAAAGAAGACGATCGAGCCGGATGCCCATCAGTTTTCTTTCTGTTACATGTTTCAGACTCAGATCACGATTTTATAGTTTCCCAAGGTCATGCAATAAATAATTACAATAGTTCGCAGCTGCGAGAACTTTTAATTGTTTACTATTATCAGCCGTTGCATACCTGAGCACTGGTCAAGTTCTGGCGCGTATCAAAATATCCTGCTAGTAAACAGGATGAAAATCAAACCAATTCTGTATCCAAGAGTCAACTACCTATAACGACCAAGTGAAGACTGTTTATGGTACAATCATTAATCTAGCTAAGCCAGGAATACTTTGTTCTATTCATGTATCTAATTATAATTAGCATTGGTAATTTTTCGATTACAGAACTCTTTGCGAGACACATGACTTTTTCCAGGACTTCCCAAGGAATAAATGTGGCTGAAATGAAGAGATATAACAGTGAAAATAATTTTGTTTGTTTATTACTAAGCACGGCTTGATATGCGCGAAAATAGAAAATTCAATGGATAACTCTTTTCTACAAAGTTATTCCTTTTAAGGTCCCATTCAAGATCCTGAGATGATACTAAAGTTAACTAGGCCATATTATTCGAAAGTACGTATGATGAGGAAGGTTTCATGGCTGATACTGTCATTTGAGACCTTGAAGATCTTGGACCGAAGATTGCCTATTAATTTTGGGATCATGCCTCCTAAGCTATTTTTTAAATGAGTGTTTGTCTCCACGCCTCGTCACAGTATTTTTTTACATGATGTACACCGTTATCATCCATTCACGGAAACACCGGAATTTTGATGTCTTTCTAATCATTTCGAACCAATTTAAGTATACTCCTATGCGTAGGCTTTAGAAGCGAGACCAAGCCCTCCAGACTCTCAAGTGTTAATGTTATTGGAAAGAAGTCTTTTTTGGATACAATTTAGGAAGATTTAGAAATTTATACTTAGTTTATGGTTATAAAGAGTCATTTGTCTCCTTACTGACCTTTCTTATATAAAATCGTGGACAGTAGATCTATTTTTATCCGATAATCTTCTAATGCAATTTTTTGATATTGATGGTTGGCATTGTACCCTTGGACACAAACATAGAACCTAATGTGGAATTGAGACGTGATCGATAGCTTCTAACAGCTATAAAAACTGGCCTCTTTTTCATCGGCGCAAGCCCCGCTCCTATCTACTGACCAAAAATGATTATCTTCTTCATTTTTGAGACCTGACTTACTGTCATAAATGCAACAGCTAGCTATTATCAGCTATTTTCTGTTTGTTGTATAATTTTTTTCATAAAATTATTGGTAATTTTGTGTCAAATAAAGTGGAATCTATACTTCTACTTTAGTAGCTAACACCGTCAAATTTGCTGAGTTGAAGTCGCAGAGCTATAATGAAGTGACTGTCTCAGATTCAAAGAATTCCAGAAACTTAGACATTAGTTAAGTCATCACTTTGCGACCCCAGACTTATGCCTGTTATTTATAAAGTTTTTGATGTCTTTTTGCCGGTTTTAAGCTTGAGCATATTCCATTAAATTTTGCCCTTTAAAATCACTTGCGTTATGATATTAGAAGAATTACGTGTTTGGTTTATTGCTGATATTGTTTAACTGGTCTTGACAATTTCATTAAACGTGGTGCAAGGGTTTATCAGATTATTGATTTCATGAAGACCATTTACCTCCAAATTCTGCATCAATTCTATCTGCTGCTGATGACTGAGGCTTTCCATCCTCATCCTTATGTCAAAGTCTGGGTCAACGTTCATGCTGCTCCCTAATGAGTGTGTTGTGGCATGTAGTGAGTAATTCGAATCAAAGAGAGCTGCACGTTGAAACTCATGTTCCAAGGAATGGGGTTTAGTTATCATGAAGTTTGCATCAGTGAAATTCTGCGACTGCAATTTGTTGAGAGTCGGGTATTCTAGCAAACTACCTATATGCTTATGTGGAGGTTCAAATTTTGTATCAGGATAATTACTTGGTTGATTAGTAATCAATTTATTCTCATTTCTTTTCGGAAATTTATAATCTAGATTTTGGTCGAAACAGTTGTCATTCATATTCGATGAACCCAAGTTGTTCGCAGAGAGGGGCTGAGAAATAGCAAGGCAATACTGGTGATCCAATACTTTGGGAGAGTTTATCTCATCTACTGATATTGGAGAGCTTGAGCTTTGTGACTTGTCGTCGTGGAAGTAAGCTGGTGGTGAATTCGGTGTTTCTTGATAATCATAGCTTCTCAAGCATGCTTCCCCGATCTTAGCGTAAAGTTGGGCAGTAGAATCAGTCTCGGGCCATCTTTCGCGACACATGAGAATAGCTTCGATTGCAATTTGAATATCTTCTTCCAACTCCTCTTTCGAGTGCAATGCTCGAATTTCGGGATAGGAGGTTGTCCATAGAAGGATGTTGAGCGCCTGATAAAGGGTCAATACAAATATCCAAGTGATATCTACCATAGCAGTCTTTATCTGTTTGTTAAGGCTTTTAACGTTGAACGATGCAGCGTTGTAGCACATAATGGCTGAACGAGGCATGGGCTGTGGGACCTGGGGTGATGGTCGGAATAGCATCAATATCATGGTCTGATAACGTCCGAAAAACCTGGAAATATTAGTAGTTTAGTCTTTTATTTGATGCACAGATTAATAGCCTACCACTGTTTACTCCAACTTGGACTTTGGGGAGAAGCATCGACCCACTCTTTCATTTTTTGTTGAATACTCTTGAACCATTGATGATCTTCGTTCTGTGGTTCTGGCCGCTTCGTTTGATAAAGGACCCGCCTTATCTCAGCTTGAAGAAGTCTCATTCGCATGAAATGGATGGCTACTGTCTTTTTCTCAGAAATTGGGCCTGGAAGAATGCCATTAGATGTTATATATTCGTCATCTCTAGGCTCGAAGAATCTAACATCAATCTTATTTTGCCCACACGCAAAGGCATTCGGCCGCCCCATTGAATGTGCTAATCCGAATTCCATTGAAAGAATTATCCAAGATAGTCTTCGGCGCATGTCAAGTTGAATTGGATCAATCTGACTAAGTGCCACACCTTGTCCGACTGTTTTTTCTTCGTTCAAGCCAAGCTGTTGACATAGTCGTGTTGCTAGTCCGACTATGAAATAAATCGGAGTTTGAGTTGGAGTCAGGAGGGAATATTGAGCAACTAATACTAAGCATTGAAGAGTCTTAAGGTCTTTTTGACGAACTACTTCCTCCATATACTCCATGGCAGATAAGTAATAGCTGTCCGCTAAGCCGGCGTAACTCAGATCTAGTTTCTGTAATGAAATGGCGAGAACCATGCGAATCACAAAGTTCTTGTATGCATCAGTACTACCATTGTGAACTTCTCGCATGTCTTTCTTCAAACTTGGTTCATGTAAAGTTGGTGTAAAGTATTGAGCTATCTGAAATATAAGCTTAATATTCATGTAACTTTAACAAACTTTCCTTTTTGATTGTAAACTTCAACAAGTTTTTCCGTAACTAATAAACTTGGTAGTGTTTGCGCAGCTAAAGCACTAATTAAAGGGTACGATTTCTTTCTTCCCGGTGAACAAGCTGACGGAAAACTTCGACGATCACGAATCCCAGGAACAAGTTCTCGTATCGTCCTCGAATCTGTGTATTTCTTTGCCTCTTCCATTACAAGTCGTGTCATTGTGATACCACTTGACGGGCCCAAGAATCGTGGTGTCTCGTCATCTGAACTTAAACGAACGAAGCCGCCGGGTCGTACTATGTCTTCTGTATTTGTAGACTGAGTTTCATTTTCGGTATACTCCCGAAGTTTATTTTCTAATGCTCGAATGTTTTCCTGGAGCCTTAAAACATAACTTCGAGGGATCCGCTTGTTTTTCTTTCGATCAAAATACTCGCAGACTAATCCACCACGTTCGCAAGGTAGACATCGTGGTAGATTTGGATCGCATCTTGTTTTTCTCTAATCACGGTCAGCCCTCTTCAACCCGATCGGGCATCGAAAATTACGAGCCTGGCGACATCGACAGCATGCAGTCAATGTGTAAGCGATTCGAGGGGAACTATCATCGTTCTTATCACTGGTTTCAATAAGTGAACTAATTTGCCGCGCATGGTCAACTGAGCTTTGTGCCTGCCTGATCAACTCCGCAGCATCCATCGAGCTACCTGCTTGAAGTTGGGGTTCAAAGTCTGAGATCGAATATTTCTAGAGCCAGACGATACGTATTTCAATTGATGTAAATCCTGTATTACATTGCTTGACGTGAGGAACCTTCTAAAAACAAGACGAGGATGGCCGAAAAGAAGTAGTTTACTGATCTTATCAATACATGCTCCACCACAAATAGATTCGTGTAAGGTTGGTGATCCGTGCGACCGTTCGTCATATATTCGATCAGAAATAAATCTAAGAGTCAATGCGGCAGCAACAACCGTGTGTACTCGACTTCACCTGTCATGCATAACCACGACCGAGGTCTGTGAGCGTTAAGTCCAACAGACCATAAAATTGGTAACATAATGTTCTAGCTCCCACTACCAACAGAATCAGAAAGGAAGTCAAGCAGTCTCAGTTGCGAGAGGTTTACGCCTATTACGTGAGCACTAGACGTCGGCAGGTTTCTACTATCACTTGATGACGATAACTGAAACATTTACTTGCAAAAGCGATAGGCTTAAATAAGACTTTGATTAATTTAAAGATGATAGCTAATGATGAGCTGCGGACAGTAAAAATTGTGCTGCGTAAAAGAAATTATTCGTAAGATCAACCATATCCTTTGAGAGTACTCCCGTACTTCTGGCGCTTTCTTGTTGGTACAGGGATGAAGTTAGAGCTTCTAGTAGTCTCAAGGAATGTTGTATTTTGTGAGTTGGTTGTGATTGACGATTGATGGCCCACTTCAAATCATAACTGTCAAACCAGTATCTCAAAAAGCAAAAGTACAGATAGCATTAATCGAAGTAATGGAGACTTACAGGCTAGCTTCGGTCTTTTCTATCACTTGAATTTGGACTTTGAAAAACAGAAGAGCAGCCAAATTATTGTAGCCGTCCGCTACCAGAAACTCATTCAAATAAAAAATATTTATTTATTTACGCGTTACCTAAATGGCCTTCAGTCACATGTACCAACTCGGTACTAATCAGAACTTCACTGTGGGTGAACGGTATTCTTGAAAAGATATGCTGAATGGAATTTCTTCTAAAAAGGAACTGTGTGCGCAATCAAGGATGAAGGCCAAAGACCCACAGTTAATTGACTTGGCTATAGTTGATAGAAAAAATATGTATTGTAAAGAAAATAACGACAGCGGAATTTTGGGGAAGCAAGATTAGCTGAGACTAAGAATATGAATCAGGACGGGAGACCTTATTAGACCATCCGATCAACTAAGTTTATTAAAGATAGTAAACCTCTAAACTTATTTGGGGTTCCTCTGATCTTTCAGCTTTGACTAGATAGTCTAAGAAGCCAATATTGACCTCCAAACTTACCAGAAGGATCCCTTTTATTGTGGGGTATATGGCATTCCACAGCATCTTAAGCTACACAAATAAGTTGAACAAGATTAATATGTAGAACACATTCTACAATGAGACTTTCTTAAAACTTTATTTATACCTTCAGTTAGGCCGTAGACTGTAGGAATACTCTCGCATACAGTACCCTAATCTGCTTGTAGTAAACTTTACCCTGAAACTGATCAAGGAGCTTTGGATTAGTCATGGATTAGTCATGGACTAGTCATAGAAGGAAAGGTGGTCAGAGCTGAGATGGAAAACTATTCTGGCGACGAGTTCCTTTGGGAGAAGTGTCAGTGGATAGAGGTAGTTGCGATATATATATACTTAATATAATATATTTGTTAATTCGCCCCAAAGAAAATCTACAGTAGCCGTCGCTCTAAGATTATGGAACAACGTAGACGTAAGAGAGTGAGATAGTTAAGAATATGGTATGAAGATAAAGAGTGCCTCACATAGGTTCATACTAGTCTAAAGCAGTTGGCCGACCAGTTTCTTCCAGTCATTGAGTAGGAAAGTATATCATTATATTGATTCCTAATTTGAGCAGTAAGAAAACCCGGCACTCACTAGTTTTTGCGAGTTTTTCCGGTTCACCATACAGCTAGTTATAGCCTCTGTTTTACTTTGTTAAAACGGCCACATAATAAATGGCAAAAAGATATTTTAAATGTGTGATAGAGGAGGACTCATGACGGGTGAGTCTTTGGGCCACAGCTGTTTTCGACGGACTTAATATGCAAAGTTTGTATTATCCCCTTCCCTATGAACATTGGGCATGCCAAGTTAGCGATATTGGCTGAGCCGTCAAGAGATTGACTCAGCGAAAAAGGGGTGTACCGTACTTATTCTTGGAAGCGTTTTTTAAGATATGCCGCACCCAATTTTTTAATTTCATTTTGTCCTTTTTTTTAAATCATTTAATGTGTATTCAGCTATCTAGCTATGATACATGACCGGTGCTATATATACATGTTGGATGACTCTTTTGACGTTAGAGACACTCATAGTCTAAGGTTCATTTGCAAATAACACTATGAGGTGTGTTTGCTTAGGCAGAACAGTTGACTCTCCTCCGCGAGTACCCACCAAAGGGAATTTAAAAACAATTGGTTATCCAAGCATTCCTTCGTCATCCATGTATACCAGCGCCGCGAGAAAAGTAGTTGTGTTTTGCCGGATTTGAACCAGCTATGTACTGTCTCGAGTGGAATATGTGTCCAAGCTATCCAGAGTTTACTTGGCAGACCGGCCAAAAAGATGTACCACCGCACCATCTAACCATGGCGGTGTTTATCGTGTCGCCTACACTCTCGCAACCGAAGTCTTGGCACGCACAAAGCTCAATTCGTAAAACTCTTGCCAGAATTCAAAATCCCACGCCCGTCGCGAATGTGTCCATCCTTCGCATCATCTTGTTAACTTGTCCTGAATCCTCTCTCGCTAATCCTAAAGAACAGTCTCCCAGATTTGTGCGCCACGCTTTGCTTCCTCTGTCGGGTATAAATATCGGCGTGGGCGTGTATCGGTGACCAGCTGAGGCCAGAGAAAGTCGACGAGAGGTGTGATCGTTGGAATGAGGATATACTTGGTCGTGCTTGTAGACTTGATGAGCCTCAGGTAGAAGTCAAACTCGTTGGGAGCGAAAAATTGACGTGTTGGAGTAATTTGAAATTTTGCCTCGTGGGCCAACTTCTTTGATATTGCGAAATTTGACTGAACTTGGCTCTGGGAGAATATTTCACTCCCAGGTTCGTAGAGGACACCGCGTACAGGTGTTCAGTCTTGCCCTCCTCTCCTCGCCCTTAACAGGTGGATAGCACATGTTGCGCTACAACGAGGACCTCTCAAACTACCTTTGTAGCGTTTGGTTACGATCTTTCCACATTCTTAGCATCACTATCGTCGTCATGGTCGTCTAATGTGTTATGGGAAGCGTATCTATAACGGGGGGGAGATAATTCAGCTCATAGTTGAAAAATTGTTACTCAAATTTGGCTTTGCAGACTCTATGGTGAGGGCTAGAGGTTCGTAGGGGACACCACGGACATTTGTTAAGTTTCGTCCCCCCATAGCACTTTGAAACGAAGGGAGCTTTGTAAAAACCCTCTATAGCAGGTTTCAGACGCTTCTATTTCCTCATTTTCTTCAAAATGCGATATTATATTGAAGCCCAACAACTTTAGCTTCTCTTCAAAACCCACCCCCTACACTTTGAACTTAGCCAACAGGGCAATGATTAAACACTTTGCACCAAATCAATCCCCTTCTACCAACGAGATCGATTCTCACAGAAGCTTCATCAATTCTACAAATATGAACTTGTATATCCTTATTTCACTGACTACACCTCTCATCGACTCATTCTCTGCCTTCAACTGACCTTCATTAACAGGCCCACGTCGATATTTGTACCCACTGGAGGAGACAAACTGTGGTGCAAAATTTGTACAAAAAATAGCTGAATTGTATTAAATTTTGATTTCAGCCCCTACTGAGTTCATGAGTCTGAGGGACTAGAAATAGTTGAATACACGTCCTGGATAGATCATGTCAGAGTTAGCTCAGGGAAATTTGGATTTCAGAAGGGTTTATGACTTGGATGTACTTAAATATTAGTCTTGCCGGGCTATTATAGACGGTTGTGGAACGTGTAAGAGGCTAGATAAGTTTGGTGACATCAGAATCAGCTAGAAATAAATAGGTTCAAATAGACATGAAATTCTATAGAGTTAAGCACAGATCAATATACATTTCCTCAAATCATTCATGATGGTCTAATTATTCACTTAACAAAATATCTCGGCTTGAGAGATCAACTGCCACATTAATAGGTCAGATAATTTTATCACACGGAAGCCATGTCACGGTTATTACATAAAATAAAGTATTCAGTTGTCCTATTTGGGGCCTTGAGGCCCATGCAGATTTTATCTGAAGATGTGTACTTTAAGTAGAATGACTCAATTGGACGTTTAGAACACTCACACTCAGATTTCATTTGCAGATAACACTCGAGGTCAGGCCTTATGGCGCATAACCTCTTCCATGCATACCCACCACAGAGAAAAGTGTGAAATACATTTGTTTATCCTAGTGTGCTTCCATTATTCCACAATTACAATATCACCGCGAGATAGTGTGGTGTGCAGAATTAACTGGATTCGAACCAGCTTTCTCCTGTCTCAAGTGGGGTAGGTATTCAAGCTACCCGGATTCTACTCGAGAGAACCGCCCGAATGGTGTTTCACTGTACCATCCAACCCTACGGTTATTAGGTAGATGACAAGAATAATGCTTTCTCTCATACCTGATTTGATACAGGACCGTATTTACTCTCGGAAGTTAGGCTGAGGACCAGGAAAGTTGGAGTAGGTCGAGGCGGAACCAAATGTAGATTTTTATGGGACACGCTATCTTGATCCTGAAAATATTCATAAATACTTGCATGAAACAAAAAAACCCTATTTTTATCCTGTAAGCGCAGTTCAACCCGAATTAATCTGGCGTTTGAACAAATTTATAAGTTAAGCCCTAGCTACATCGACTTATACTTGTATCTACATGGGTACACAAGATACCCTGAGATCAAAAACTCATTCGACTTCTTCATCAATCAATGACAGATACCAGGCATACATACCCCTGGTATCTACAAATACAATTGAAGATTAACTATTTTAAAAGCGCCACTTCAGATTTAAATGGCGGCAAGTATGATGGTAGGTAAGGCTGTATAGGTGTAAACGACGCTTGACAAGCTGGCTTTCCTCGCGAGACATTACCATCCATATATCATGCTGATAAAATAGCAGGGGAAATCCTTGTTGTTAATTCGTTGAATTTTCTTCGCTACGTTGGATTAGTTGCAGATCACTTTCCTCTTTATTTCCAACCTTTACCAAATAGCCTGCTGCAAAAATAGAAAACTTACGTCATTAGCTTGATCTTGGAAATACGTAGAGGCTCTTTCACTCGTAACAGATGTAATGAGTATCCCTCGCAGACAGCAGAAAATTCGAGCCATCTTGATTTAGTAACTGTGAACTGCAAACTATTTCCATAAATGAAGTATTCACTTCCAATTTAAGATGCACCAATCAAGCTCCCCTCGTAGCTCGGCAGATACGCCTCACCTTCGAGTATCTAGACCTGTTGCAGCTTGTTCGAGATGTAGGAGCTAATAAGAGGTCTAAGCTTTTCAAGCTACTGACAGTATATTCAGGTCGCCGAGCTAAAATAAAAGTTTTTATTACCAATCTCTGTTAGAAATACTGATAATTGGCTAGTGTGATGGAAAGCTTCCTGCATGCTCTGCTTGTAAGTAGAGTTGTATTAAAAGAAATTTATTAAATATTTTAGGCGAAAGAGCTGGTCGGGCCGACGAATGCTTCAGTCCCAATGAAAAATATGCTAAAGCCAGTGAGAGAAGGTTAAGCAGAGCGGCATTCAGATTTGATCGGAATGCTGACTGTGGGAAGCTACGTCGCATCTCTTGAATCCAGAATCGAGAGACTAGAGCAACAAATCGCATTCGCTGGCGCTAGAAAAGCTTCTATTGCGATGCATGACAACAACAAAGGAGCGAAATCTCCTTGTCCCAAAAACTCATTTGCTGCCATTCGGGCAGCAGTGCAAGAAAAGGCAGCTCAAAAGAGAGAAACGGCCGATGTAAATGAACTCATATCAGACTTCGGGTTTTTGTAAGTTTTTTCCACCGTTACAACTATCTGCTGAAGTGACCCTAGATCAGTTAATGCTACAACGCGTGGCTTCGACGTACCATCTACGAAGATGACTTTTGCTCGTCTCATTTTGGCCGCTTCAAACAATGAACCAATTCCTAGATATCAACCATTTAGACTACCACCCAGGACAGCCACAATGCCACTACTAAAATACTACTTAGATACAGTATTTGTGCTCCTACCATTATTCCCAGAAGCAGATTTATTGACAGTATTTGACGCAATGTACCAAGAAAATGGGCAATCTATCACTGATTTTGAATATTGGTTGTTCTGTATGGTGCTAGCAATAGGGTCATCGGGTCAATCACGAAGCAACAAGGACAAGTTTTACATTGACGGCGTCCTCTGGGTCGGAAGAGCGTTGCAATTCGCCGATAGAGTCCTCGTTCCGGGATTTATAAGCCAGATACAAGCACTAGCCTTGCTAGTGCAGTATGCTATGCTAGATCCTGTACATTTTGATAGTTGGATTCTGGCTGGTTTCGCTTGCCGCGCAGCAATAGATTTGGGTTTCCATCAAGATCCTTTGAATCAAGATCAGACAGATCTCAAAGTTTCTAACTTGAGGAGAGCTATATTTTATTGTGTTTACTCACTTGACAGGCAAGTTAATTTTGCTAGCTATATTTTAAGCTAATTGATTTTAGATCAACAAGTATGGTGCACGCTCGCTCCTTTTCATTTACAGACGACTCAGCAAGTGTCACTATTCCTTCCCTTGCGTCTTTAACGCCCCCTCCAAACTCCAAACCAGTCCTATCAGAGCCCAACATTTTACAGGTAGCCATAGAACTATTCAAACTCCGTTTGATCCAATCATCCTGGTACCAAGAGTTGTTTCAGTCTGGCCGAGAGCCATTTTCAAGCTCCCCCACATACGTGTGGGAAAAGTGCCAAGAAATGCAACAATGGGCCCAGTCATTACCAAAAGACTTACCCTCCTCTCTAAAGCTTTTATTGGACCTTGAGCTTTCCTACAGCTATGTGTATTGTCTAGCACCTTCATTTCGAGTCAAAAATGTGTCTGCGCGCGGAAAGTTTTTAATTTTTGAACACAGCATAGAATACATTGAAAAAATTTTTAAAATAGCCCAAATGACTAACAACATAATATTTTATACGTATCATGACGCATTGAGGGTATTCTTTGTGGGAAGTCAGTTTGTCTCTGTACTACACGATGATCAAGATTGGCTTTTAAACACAGAGTTACATGGCGCTCGGCAAGACACAGAAAATTTCCTGCAGTCGTCTCTCCCTCAGAGCTATGGAATTGATAACTTCGGTAGGAGTTTAGGCTGCATTTCTCACATAAAAAAGACATTGAAAATTTTTGGGAATAGGTGGGAGGACTCGAGGGTCCTCCTTTCTTCATTCGAAGCACGTGTTGAAAACCTGACAAAAGAACTGTACCGTAAGAGGATTTCTCTGAAAGCTTCTTGCAGGACCTAGTAAATTAAAGTATGTTTTATCAATCGACAGGCGTATGTGGCATTAAAACCAGAAATAAGTAGAAATTTAGGTTAATTGGTTTTAAAGATGAGCGTATGGGGGTTTAAAATAGCTGATTTCAAGAGTCTCGCTGCTTTCCTCGTAAAAGCTGAGAAAAAGATGATGATTTTGAGACACTCGATCGAACCGATCAAACACAAGTTTTAAAATTTCATTACATGCTCCAATTTAATAATTAGACCCATTACTTCTTGATTGCAAGCTACCCTTTATTACCCAGTTTATATGATCACTCGTGGTTGAGTATAAAAATTAAAAGAACGATTGGAAGACAATGCGGCCTTTTCATAACACAACCTTACCTAACTTTATACTCCAAACTGGATTCCCCGTTTTATTAGATTTGTCGGCTTGCATGCGACTTTTTCCCAATCTGGTTCATTACCTCTACCAGTCGGAATTTCCTATGAATATCAAGAGCCAGATAGATTTTAAAAGTAGCTCCATGACAGGTGCCACCGACGAGTCAACTTTATGCATAGACTCTTTGAATGGAATTATGTTTCAATTTCAGTTGTAGTTGGTAATGCAATGGGAATTTCTATGCATTGTTTTGAACTTTTGACAAAAGGTCATGCGTCGCTTTGGCGTGGAAGTTGTAGACACAAAGTGATGACTGTCATATTTAACGGCTGCCTTTTGAGTGTTTCAAAACATTATAGCTAGTCTAAAACACTGGAAAAAAGTTATGCCAATTATTTAGTGCATAACTAATTTCGTGATTTGTTTTGCGCTATTGTATGAAACTGAGGCTCGAAGCCCTAGGTATTACTGGGATAGAATGAGGCTGAATTCTTTAATTTTCTCGCTACTTCTCTTCGTCTGATAATCTCCCCCTGGTTGGGCTTGGAGCAAAAGTAGCCCTATCTTAACCCATGCCTTAGTCATTAGAGCACAAGTGTAATTACTTCCATTGCCATGCTACATCAGCCGAAATAGGGCAATGCTAGATAGTCATATCTATTATACTGGATTAGAATCAAGATGTGACTTGCAGTCATGTTATGTCCTGTAATTAATGACCCTACTATTTATTTCGCGAATCCTTCAGAGGTGGGTCAGGATCCGCAATGCAATCCTCTTCAGTCAGAGGTTGATCAGAGTCATGGCTTTTCAAGACATGGTTCAGCCCGCAAATGATCGAGCAGGTTGTATGAGTGAAATCATAGTTGGCGACAATCGAAAGAGCTACTATCTAGCCAATGAGAGTTCCATTCGGACCCTTCTAACGTAATGTGGGGACATGAATCCCGTATTATACTATGTATGTTGTGGGTGCAAAACAGCTGATTTTCGCTTAATCCCTTGCGCTTAATTCTGGCGGCCAGATCCTACGAGAAATCCGTGTCAAGTTGTCTTGTAGTGGCCATGTGTCGTCTCGGATCTTAATGCATGGTTGTTGTAAAAGTTGTTAAATTTCGCTAGCGGCATGGGAAAAAGAGCGATATGAGCGAAATTTGAATATTTAAACGCTTAGTAAGCAAATTCAGCACAGCACTAAGATAGATAGAGCAGGAACAAAATTTGAGCAAAAATATGGGGAAGGCCAAGCGATAAGGCGCGGCAGGTCGAGGAAATTCGGCGCTGAGCAGCCGGCCGCGATAATACCAGCTATAGCCAACAGGGGGCGAAAGGATAGAATTTTAAACATAGCTAGGTATAAAGGGAAATCGATTGGTGTATTTCCAACGTCGAAAATGGTAAATTCTCTTGAGATTGAAACCAGTGTAGAAGTGGCCCATGGAATCGGGATAAAGTTTTCTCTTTCATGCCCCCAGAGATGCCCTTCAGACGGCTCCCTCAACACCATCGAGGACCCGCCTAGCAGCGTCCAAGCGTCTACGCCATAAACGTATATCAATGCTAGTTCGTGCTTCCTGCAGGCCGAGGACACATTTACCAAGACTCACTACAAGACGCTTAACGAGAACCTGATCGTCTATTGCAAGCATATCTACAGGTGACTCTTGACATGGCTTCGTAACTTTCTGAGGCCGAGTAATGCTAGCTTCTGATACGATTTCCGGAGGTGCCAGTAAAGATGACTGGTCAAGATGATGAGAGTTTGGTGACGCGATGTCTGGATTCTTCAAAGCTGGGTAATTCTTTGTGGAATGACTTGACTTGAAAGTCACGACAGAGTCAAACGATTCAATAGATGATCTTTGACTAAGATACTGGTTGCACTTGACCCCGTAGCTAGGAGTGAAAGGACTTCTAGCCTTCGAGAAATTAGGTCTTGTATTTTCAAGGTCAAAAGTTGAACTTAGACTAGTCAGATCTCTTTGCGCTTGAGTCTGTGTTGACCATTCCGTAGCATAATCACTAGTATCACCCAGACCAGAGGATGGAGAGAAAACCACTTCATTTGCAGTCGAGAATGATTCTAGAGTCGAGATGCTTTCAGTACTCGTTGACCTTCGATGAGGTTGTAATTTCCGGGATTTTGATGGCCACTTTCTTTTCTGAGGAGAGTAGCAGCGGGCTGTTTCAACAGAATCTTGCGAACTAACACTCTCTCGCCTCTCTTGGCTTATTGTTCCCATTGCACTGTGTAAGAAGAAATGTTCATAGTCAAAGGCATCTTCTCGATCTTCATGTGAGACCATAGTATCGTAGTAAATGGAAGAGTTGCTTTCATCGCAATCATCTTCCTCCTTGATTTCTGTTTGATTAGGGCTGTCAATTTCAAGTTCGGTGACCTGAACGCCATTATCTTCTGCTGTATCACTAGGTGCTTTTTGGTTGGCTTCATGTGCTTCTGGATCTTGATAATCCTCTGTCCCATCAAAGGAGTTCCTAAGACTTGAACGGCTCAGATTTGATACAGAGCCTCTCGTGGAAGTATCTTCGCCTGACTCCACCGGGCTTTGTTTTGCCGAATCATATGATTGCGATTTCAGACTGGATGATCGTTGACTAGGGAAATTTTTATCCATAGCATACCATTTATCAGCTATGGCTCCCGGGTCTGAATTCTTCAGGGATTGTAAGCTACGGCGTCGCATAGTATCATCTCTAGTGCGATCCCGCAAAATAGACAATCTTCCCTTAAGCCCCTGCATCTGAGATTGTAGATCTCTCATTTGAAGTGAAGATGCTGAGCGAGGAAAACCTTTGCTTTCCAAATTCTCATTTAATTCTTCTCCTGATGTAGATTTGCGCACAGCCCGGTCAGTATCAGAGCCGATTATTTCGCCATTTCGACTAGGAGAGTCTGTACGAGATGCTGGTTTAACTGCTAGTGATCGAAGGGGACGCGGTATTCCTTGCCATCCATCTTGCTCATGTGCTGATGTACTGGTAAACGATGATGACTTGACTATACCTCTTGATGATGAGTCGATAGAACTGTTTGCTTTATTCGGAACTTTTGTAAAAGATAATTTTTCTCTGCTATCCTCATTTTTTATCGATCTCTCGCCGGTCATATCATATTTTGCACGCAGTTTCCGACTCATTGAGTCTACGACACGAGGAGTTTGAAAGCTGTCTGGTGAGGGCGAAGGGGTTGAATGTGAGTCAGAACTGCTACTGTGGCCTGACTGTGAGGTATTCGGTCTAATTGGTACAGAAATGCGAGCACGATTGAGATTATCCTCCATTGTCTGCCCTAGGGTCAGCGTATATTTCAATTATGTAATTATTGGGTCTCACGTGAAGGCGCTTTTTTGCACTTAAGAGAATTTGTTCTGCCTTCCTACTCAGAGCCAACGAAGGAAGACCATACTCGTGAGAAATTTGTGATTGATATGATACCATTTCCTCGTTATCAGAATCGGCAACACTTTCTTCATCATCTCCCAAGAATACACTATCGTCCACGCTTGCTGTGTCAGTGAGATCCTTGAACATTTCGGCGCTTTGCTCCCTCGATATTTCAGTACTCGTAGAATCAAGTGAAATGTGTCTCTGATGCCTTTCGATCTTGAATCGTCTCATCAATGCATCTTTTCCCGTGGTTTGGCCCAACCGATACGCAACATCACTTGTTGGTAGTTTTAAAGCCCTCTTCTCTGTCAGATCTGAAAATTTTCCTCCAGGTGTCCCCTCAACTTCTGTCACCTCTCCAATATCGGAGAGCATCGTCCCATTTCCATACATGAATGGTGTCCTAAGGCTCATGGCGCTGGAGTCGGAGAGCGCGAACCCGCCGCTATATTGATTGTCGTTAAGGTTGTCAGACCATCTACCCGCAAGGGAAAGCTCGTCATTTTCTTTGAATGGCAAGATCATATCAGGATTCGTGAGAGTGGGACTGGTCGATAATGGGACTACTTCCATGGTGATTGTTGAAGTCGTGTTGCTAGAATGTGGGTGCATGCTGATGGTAAAAGAATATTTGAAGTGATATCTTTATCCTTGACATACACAAGGCAATGCCGTATCAGAGTATTCGATAACGGAAAAAATGGGCCTCGAGTGCAGGTACGCCAAGCTGTACGTTGGGTTAGATATGTGTGGACAGGCCAGAGGGGTGCAGTGGGGAATGACAACACGTCTTTGTTTACTTGACTTAATTTGGTTAGGCTGGATCGAAAAATTTGAACCTGCTTACAGGAAGGCGGACGCAGCCGTTAGTCAAACCAAAAGATCGCCTAGAGAGTTTATCTACACGGACTGCCTCGAATAAATCTTATTCTACGGTAACAGTTACAATTTAAATGATAAATTTCTCAACAATTGGGATCTTAGCTCGCTAACCACGCATTTATACTTCATTTCACATAATTCATCCACGATAATAATGCGCGGACCACAGCTGGACTCATTCAGTCTCAGGCACTAAGCTCATTAAAGTTAAAGTAACCTGTATTTAGCAAGCGATATACAAGGGCCGGATCCAAGACAACAAGGTATCTATTAGTATAACAGATGACTGAATTGAGTGGGAAATATGTAATGCTTCATGCCGGGCTTTGCACATTCAAGGGTACTGATGACAAATGCATGACAACGTGACTACGTGTCGACCCTAAGAAACTAATTGGTTGACTTGAAATTGTAAATGCAACCACCGGCAAAGATTCGCTTCATGGGGTATGATCATATAAGAACCTCCTCTTTGATAGCGAAAATAAGCCAAATCTTCTTCTCAAATCTGATTGACTCATGCTAGCTTTCACGTATCTGAGTGATTTGTTTGAGAACCTTCTTACAGCCCACACAATATCATTTCAGCTTGTATATCATTGCGGATCACCATAGCTGACAACCCGCCATACTTCTTTCATTGAAGGATGGAATATTTGGAGCTCAAATTTGATGTTGTCGATCATCGGTAATCCTGCGCAAATCATAGTAGTGTATTGGCGGGAAAGTAACGGTCTCAGTACTCAGGCATTTTCCCAATCGCAGCCGTACCATGGTTTGCAATAATAGAGGATCATAATCTGGCTGACAATATCAATGTGTGCAATTTTACGCATAAGTATATTATCTCACAGCTGACAACCAAAAATTATGTTGTGCTTTCTCTGCCTGATTCAGGAGTCGTATGAAATTTAGGATATACGGAGGCATCGATACAGTTCCTGCGGGCGTTGTGGCACCTACTCGGCCTGGCTACTTCCGCAAATGGGTCTGGTAGCAGCGTGCAGCGATATACCCTATTTAATTAAGGGTGCAAGGGCCGCGTGCTTGTACATATCGCCAGGGAGGAGCCATGTTGCACTTGCTGCAAGATTGGATGCTGCCTCTGGATTGTGATCTTTAAGCCAGGCAGCTATGAAATGTGACGAGTGACTTCTTTTCTCCCTTGTCGAGAGACATTGCTTCGCTTGGCTGTGGTGGTTTGACACAATAGATTGAATTGCACACACAACGCTGTTTAGGTATTATAATTAGATAGCTGTTTGCACTTAAGCAATACAGATTCAAAGACTAAATGAAAGTGCATAGAAGGCATGTTCGGAAATTAGGTTCGAATGAATCTTCCGAACAACAGCACGGCCTAGCGGCTCGACATGTTTCAGATTATCGACAAGTGAAATGAATTGACGCCCTTGATACCAGTATTTAGATCTATGTATAATAGAAGTTATCATGCTTTATCCGAAGAATGCCGGGGGTAAGATTAGCGGTGTCTTCTGTGTAGGCTCTATGTCTCGTATTTAGATTATTCCGAATTTTGCTAATCGTGATAACAGACATCAATTCATTCACCAGTATATGCGCAGAAGCAAAGTGATTACTGTTTCGTCAACCTTACCCATCGCAATTACCAGCCTCGGTGAGCCTCATCTACATGTGATCGAAGAGAATGGTCATGAGCGAGAGTGAGAATATTTAATTAGATAACTAATACGGATGCGATCAATGACAAATTTGTTAGTAACATATCCCAAAGATGCGAACTGATCAAGCAGGTGATGCAGTTTCCTTGCCTAATCGCAGCCTATTTCTTCTGCCATAATATCCTAGCATACGAACAAGGGTGTCTCTCGGCCCCACCCCAAAATGACTGGGCATTACTCGCCCTTGCCCTGACTAGAAGTTAGCCGAGGAGTAACCGCACGGCAATGCAGCCTAACCCTCAAGGTTAAAGGCGTGCACCATTCATTCGCCCTCGGATCCCATATTTACCCATGCAAGCATGACATGTCGGTTATTTGAATCTGCTACTGCAAAGATTAGATCATGATTGATCTCAAAATTTAGTAAAGGTCACATTACATTGACAGTGGCAGGCGTGCCTGTCCTGAGGACTACAGGTTAGTCGCAGCAGCAGCAGCAGCAGCATCGATATCTACTGTGGGAATCCGTGACTGAACCGACACAGCAGGAGACGTGTACATTAAGCAGTTTCTCTCAAAGGAAAACCATACGAATAAACAGCAATCGTCTTCTACCAGATGCGTAGCGATAATCAAGAGCTGTTAACCCAGCCTCTTCCCCGAAATTTGGCACTTAGAGCAATACAGCCGGTGAAATTTAGAATTCTGAAGTAATGTTTAGATTCGAATGTTCTCGGAAGTTCACGTTGGAAAGGAATTCAGGGAAATAGCAGCTAAAATTAGCAATACTATCGTCTTAATTGTTTCAGCAGCTGAGACTGGAATTCTATCGTGGTTATGGGTATGTTAAGGACGTTGTGGAACTACTTTCAGAACGTTTCGAAGGTGGAAAATAGATGAGGTCGTAGATATATTGGACATGTAGAATCTTGATATTCGCCGATTTCAGCTTATTCCCTCTACAGACCATTTACCCGATGCTGCCTCTAGTGCAAGGGTCGTAAGATAGATGCTATTCACGAACTATCTAGATTTAGGCACAAAGGAGAAACTTAAACTGGAGAGGAAATAAACTGAGGTAACCCACTAAATGAATAATCTAGCATTATGCCAAGGTTTCGAGTCATGGAAATGGAATGTGTGATATGAAGAACAAGATGTGGGGGATGCCTCTTGCTGAGGTGCCTAGCTACTCGGCTTCTCTGCTCTCGAGTAAAGCTGAGCGCTATAACCACTCGACTATAAGGATGTAGAATGTTGGGGTCTCCCATCATCCTTCAGCCCTATCTCAAACTAATCCTCCAGTATTCAATGCCTTAGGCTTGAGGTTCTTAGTTCCTAGGATGGTACGGGTAATAAATTTTGAGCGTACGGGGATCGTAGGCTAACAGTGTCTTGGGTTTTCTGCTATATCTTCTATATAGTGAAATATTAAGACGACGAATGACTGTCTTTACAAAATTACAGGATGTGCCTAGTATATACAGGTGTCTGGGGTGACTATGCCCAACACCTGTCAGTGGTGTCCCTTACGAACCTCCAGCTCTTACTGTAGAGTCTGCAGAGCCGAGATTGAGTAACATCTTCTTCACTTCGATAAGGATTCCCAATCGCTTTCGCTGTCTGTATCGTCTTCATCTCTCAACAGATTCCCCTACCACCATTATTATCAAGCTAACCACGATCAGATCAGATGGTAGGGTCGAAGCCATTTTCACTAATCCTTGATCATGGAGGAAAAACCATCCGATGGGTTTCCGGAGCGTACCCAGCACCCGATACGGAGATGGTGGATTGGATCAAGTCGGCCTCGACTGTTACAAAGAAGAGAGATCTAGATGAATATGCGCACATCATGTGGTCCCGGTGTCTAGGCCTCGCCTGGCTAGGGCTGCAGGTTTTTTGAGACTTTTTCCCGCGCACGCAGTTTCCATTGCGACCGTTTTTTTTGGGTAGAAGGTTCCGTGGTAAAGGTGGCAGAATTCCACGGCTAAAGACTGAGCTGAATGGCTATTCATCAAGGGGAATATATCAATGATCTTTCAAGAAACATGAGAGATAAGGAGCACTGTACAAGGTGTGGCCTGGATCAGAGAGGAGCCCAATGTGCTAGATAGTCATAGACTCAAGTAGTACAATAAACACAAACACACACAAATATGTCGCATCTTCTCACGACCCAAGTGACGATATCGCATTCTACCTACGACACTTTACTGCCACATTTATCTCTCAATCACTCATGCCGCCCCAGTCCTCCGTAGAGGCTGGCCCCCCCTCCCCACTTGTTGTGATAGGTCTATGATTCGGGTGTACATACAATTTGTGGGAGCTTCGCTGCTAGTGATCACAGATGTGCTGCTGGGCCGGACAGGTCAAGAAGTGGAGCGGAGAATGATCTCTGTGGAATGAGGAAAGACTGAATTGCTTACTCTATCTACTGTGGAGGAAAGCTCTCTACTTACAGTCCCTAGACTATTGCTTACTGATGATACCAACTCAACGAAGCAGGAGTAAACAGAGCAAGCGCTCGCAGTCGCGGGACCATCATAACTTGAGCTGTGCACTGTAGCTATGTAAAATTTCGCAATATCAAAGAAGTTGGCCCACGAGGCAAAAATCCAAATTACTCATCCACTTCGTTATTTCGCTCCCAACGAGTTTGACCCCTATCTTCGTCTCATCGAGTCTACAAGTACGACAAAGTACATCCTCATTCCAATGACCACACCACTCTTCGACCTTCTCTGGCCTCAGCTGGTCACCAAATACACGCCCACGCCGATATTTATACCCGACGGAGGAAGCAAAGCATGGCGCACAAATCTGGGAGACAGTTCTTTGGAATGGACGTGAGAGGGATTAGGACAAGTTGACAAGATGATACAGAGGAAGGATATAACCTCGAAGGGCATGAGATTCCGAATTTTGGCAAGGAGTTTTTCGAATTGGGCTTTGTGCGCGCCAAGACTTCGCTTGCGAGAGTGCAGCTGACACTATAAAAACAAGCAAACGATGGAAGGTGTCGTGGTCCGCCTCCTGGTGATG